TAGTTCGTGCCCCTCGGGGCAGGTCCCCGCAGGCCGGGGGATCTCTCAAGGCCAGCTCCCTGCCCAGCCGCCCTCCCCGTCCCGCCCCCACCCGTGATAGCGTGAATTGTACCGCTGCTGGGGCCCCCGCTCCCCTTCGGCTGATTTATTCCTGTTAGCAGAGCAAAGCAAACAAATCCTCGTCGGCCCTTTACTTCTCTTACTTTTGACATACTGTCTCGCGTGGCAATTGTGAACGTTCTGGAGCGGAGACTTTGGGGGTTACGCCATGACTGCAGAGCGTATGGCACGGCCAGGCTGGGTCGGTCTGGGTGCCTCGTTAGTGCCAGAAACGAGGGCTGGCGCCGGGGCAGCTGGGCCCGCTCAGCACCTCTAGTTGGACGTATTACGCTGCAGGACCTTAGGAAGCCACTAAATCCCATCCTGCTTTATCTTTTTTTGTCCAGTCTGTTGCAGAAGGAGGCTTGGCCACCTCACTGGGTCGTGCAAAGCCTTCAGATACAATTTGTGAAGATGTTGGAGACTCTTGGGGGGAAGATGTCATTTATTACCGCTTGTCACTGCCTGCCTTTAAAACGCTTTGCTGCTTGTGTTTTTCTTTATCGCCTCCCTGTGTCTGGGGATCCCCCTTCTCCCCTTCCAGTTGCAGTTTTGCGCTTTGGCTGTTCGTGGTTGCCCGTCAGGTGCGAGCACCTGGCTGCCGGCGCTGCGGCTGCGTCACCCGGCCGCGCACGTGGGCTGGGACGAGCTGAGGCTGTGGATCGCCTTGTCACAACAGGAGCGCTGCGAGAGAGCTGGAGCCTGCACAAAAACAGTCCTGGTGACTGCAGGCAGCCAATATTAATTCGTAACATCCCTCTCTCATTTTTTCATAGGATTTCGCAACCTGCATGTGGATGACCAGATGTCAATAATCCAGTACTCTTGGATGGGCCTTATGGTTTTTGCTATGGGTTGGAGATCTTTCACCAACGTCAATTCCAGGATGCTTTACTTTGCTCCAGATTTGGTCTTCAATGAGTAAGTGCGAAATAACAGCAATCTAATACTGCGCGTTTCCTGGGGCAGACTAGGTGAGAAATGAGAACGAGACAAGGAATTCGCTTTCCCACCTGCTTATGAAATGCACACCTTGAGTAATGGCGCGTTCAGAGCCGACCAACAAAGCACAGGAGGGCCCTGCTTTTCCCCTCTCATTGCTCTGCAGTGATCTCCAGGAGCAATAAGGAGAGTTGCAATGTCTCTCCTGCTCCTTCTTCCCTTTCCCTCAACCTTGCCTTGGGTTTGCCTTCCATCAGGGCAGCCGCAGGTGCCGGTGCTGGGTGTGAAGGGCCGGTCCGTACACACCTGCCTTTTTTCTAAGGGATTTAAGTTCCTGTTTTCAGCTTGGTTGGTCCGCTGGAGCGAGCAGAAACAGAAACAAACGTGTATTGTAACTTCTGATGGGTTCTCCCTGATGTACCATCAGCTTAGAGGTGGGGAGGGTTTGTTGACACTAAGGTAGAAGAGCTTAATAACAATAACTAAGCACAGCAGTAAGCAAAACCACATCTCACTGAGAGCTCAGCTTTGCCTCCCTTGCAGAGGGCCACGCTGGGTGAAGCACTGCAGTCGTTTTTCAGGAAGGCAGAGGGTCAAACAAACCCCATAGGTCCCAGGTAGTCATCCATTTCTAGACAAAGAGGATTACACACGGGCATTTTGGAAAACGTTCCTCTCCTGCATGCAGGCCTGTTGCTGCCAGCATTCCCCGAGACAGGTTCTTGGCAGCGGGGATGTGCCAGGCGAGGCTGGGGTTGCTGGGTTGGGCAGAGCGTGTCCTCCCCCACACATCACACAGGCAGCGCTTTGATCTTGCCATGCGTTGCGCATCTTGCCCTGGCAGGTACCGGATGCACAAATCCAGAATGTACAGCCAATGTGTCAGGATGCGGCACCTCTCTCAGGAGTTCGGGTGGCTTCAGATCACACCCCAGGAGTTTCTTTGTATGAAGGCTCTACTCTTCTTCAGTATTAGTAAGTACTTACACCCTTTCCTCCGCAGATTTCCAGTTGCTACACGCTGTTACTGCCCTAGAGGTATCTGGTGCTTTCCCTGTACGTGTGTGTGCTCATGCCTCCCAAGGGATGGCTGTGGGTATTCTCCTTTCTGCTTCAATCTGAGCTGCTCGGAGATGACAAGCTGCCAAGCATGAGGGTGCCGCCACCCAGCTGCCCTGCAGCTAGCCCGTCCCACCTCTGCACCTCGCAGCGTTTCTGCAGGAGGTCGCTCCCTGCCTCGCTGCTGTCATCATGGGCACCTCCGAGCATCAGCCGCTGAGCAGGAGCGTAGCGCTGCACTTTGTTACGTCGCCCCTCTTCTGCAGCGAGTGCCGAACGAGGGTCCCTGGGTCAGCAGCAGTCCAACAAGCTGACCAGAGAGAGGGCCATAGCGGAAGCAGGGCTGGTGGGCAGATCTTTCCTGTTGGGTCTGCACTGGCCACTTCTTCAGCCTTCCCCTTGCTCTTTTATTCTCTCCACTCTCTGGGCAACTCTTACTGTTTCCTTCTCATGTTCCATGCAGTTCCAGTGGATGGCCTGAAGAACCAGAAGCTCTTTGATGAACTTCGAATGAATTACATTAAGGAACTTGACCGTATCATTGCGTGCAAGAGGAAGAACCCTACCTCCTGCTCTCGGCGATTTTACCAGCTCACCAAGGTCCTGGACTCCGTGCATCCCGTAAGAGAGCCCAGTGAAATGTCCATCTATACACATAAGAAACAATACAGGAAAGAAGCTTTTTACCAGTGAGAATGACCGTTCACTGGAACAACCTCGCCAGGGTCGTGGTCGTTCCCGTCACGGCAGGTTTTCAAGATGCGAGTGGACAGGGCGCTAGGTAGCCTCATCCAGGCTCCTTTCCCAGGGACGGCTGGACCAGGTGATCTTTTGAGGTCCCTTCCAGCCCGGGATGTTTAATGTGCTGTGATTCTTTGTGGTTTGTTTTTTAACTCCTGGCACACCTTTGCAGGGACGGTATTGCAGTGTGCTCCCAGATTAAGCGACAGAGAAAAGACAGCCACTAACTACGGAGGGAGTGGAAGTTATCTGTGTCTGTCACTCCCTGCAATAACCACTCTTGTGCTTGGGTTTATGGGCTTCCTTTTCTGGTGACGAAAAGCTCTTTGTAGACAATACTTTTCCATCGTCAGCCTAGCAGAACAGCTCAAAATCTCAGTCCCCCCAGTGAATCTTTTCTGTTTACAGCAGTGAAAACAAATTCTCCATTTGTGACTTAAAGCTGTACTGGTGAAATGGGAGCTAGACCTTTCCTCTTTCCTGGGGCTCAGCTCCATGCCCATACAGCTATATGTCTACAAGCAAAAAGTAATTTTTAATAAGTGAAGTCAGCAGCATCTGCAGACAGTAAGACAAGTTTCTGTAGGAATAAGGAAGTGCCATTTTTATACATCCCCGGTTTTGTGGGACTTGGTAGTGTCTGAGTGTGAAGGGCCATGGCAAAATACGCGACGTGCTCCCAGGCTGGGTAGTTCCCTCGCTCATCCTTGGGCCGCGTACCTGCCATCCGGTAACTGGTAGCAGTGATGGCCAGGGAGCAAAGCAGATCCCACTGCAGCAAGTCCAGCCCTGACCTGCTGTGCCTGCTAACCTCCGCTCGGTGTCTTCCCAGAGAAATCGCTGACCAGGGACTTCTCACTTAAAAAACTTTCTTCCTTTCCCAGATTGCCAAGGATCTGCATCAGTTTACATTTGACCTTTTGATTAAGGCACATATGGTGAGCGTGGACTACCCTGAAATGATGGCCGAGATCATCTCTGTGCAGGTTCCCAAGATCCTGTCTGGAAAAGTCAAGCCTATCTACTTCCACACACAGTGATCTTCCGGAGGGACCTCCCAGTTCTGCCACCCTCATTTCAGCCATTATTTCTGCACTGCAGTGCCTTGGGGAATCCCCTCTACAGAGGCGGTGTGCCAAGAAGATGGACAGTAACAAACGACTACCTGCTGGGATTCCTGAGATTTCTATTTTTCCTGAGGTACCTCTGAACTGAACTACCTGCCATGGCTTCTGCCTAGATTTGGCTGGCTCGCTGTGCTGGGACAAGGGGCTGTGGCACGGTGGCGGGGCCAATCTCACGGGAGATTGGGAGAAATGCCACGAGTTGCTGAGTTTGGGGTTCTTTTTAAAAAACAGAACAAGAAGCAGGTTGAACCTATAAGTGTGGGTGTGGGTTACTTTACTGGCCTCCTTCGGGACTTTTTATTTGCATTGTGGCGCTGGGAAGCAGATGAGTTAAAATATTGCAGTAGAGAAACAGAGAAGAGTTGGGGGGATGAGATGAATTTGCAGCCTGATGAATGT